CCGTGGGTGAGAGGTTGTTTTCTCATGGTTTGGCATCGTATTTGGATTTGAGCAGTTCATTTTCTCCAAATCCAGGACCAAAACGTTGGTAATGTTGCCATGACTTCATAACAGTTATATTTTATCGTATTCTTAATCCTTTGGAGTCTAACGAGCTAGAAGTAGTCGCCTCAAATTGCAATAGGTCGTCCAGATGGCTTTTATAATTTCCACATAAAATTTCGACAAGAAAATATACCCACAGCACATTACTTCATGGCCGCTCTACTGGCCCACGTCGTTTCTTCCGAAGAAAAGTAATAACCATGGAATAGGAAGACAATATCCAATAACTTTGCACCGCGTTATCTTCTAACGAGACATCCGTTTCCCAGTTAGGGTGTCTCATTGGTCAGTAATATCCAGTACTGTCGTCTTAAGAAGAAACGATGCATGATTGTTCGGAAGTTGCCAAACTTCCTCGAAAATCTTGTATATTCTCGAATAGTACTATAGATACTTTTCTTTAAAATTCTCTGGCACTGTTTATTGAATTACGGATGAAATTGTGTGGAAATGTTTAAGACAAGTATAGATGTTGCAGTTTACTTGTCTAATCAAGCATTTTGTCAAGTGCCTGGGTAGAGAGTTAAGACTTTGTATGTTTTGCATGTTTTTCAAGCAGGTTTTTGAATTTTTCTTATCTTAAAAAAGAGCACTTTATCAAAATACCAATTTTTGTCAAATTTGACCCATGGAAATTTTTCCTATCATGTTGTACTGTCTAACTTATAAATAACCCGTGTTTAATGAAACATAGATCAATTTTGAGATTAATGTTCTTTCAGTGCCTAAACTCCGAAAGCAATCATAATTGATCCCGGAGGTAACTTAAAGGTTATTTTATCTACATTTGCGGACCCGTTCAACCTGATGGTATAAAAGCAAATCAACATAGCTATGATTTCACAACTCTTTTTTTCTTTATAGGTGTCCAAACGCACTTACTCTGTACATTTCTTCGCCAAATTATTCAGAATAATATAAAAAAGAGGCAGATTCCAGAAATGAGCCACTGGTATCGAAAAAACTGAACCGATGAAATTTGGCAAGGCTCTGAGGTGTATACGCCGTTTTTCCTTAGTACGGTCAAATAGGCCAATAGGTGACATACATCACCGTGTCCGAGCAAAAACCCTCATTCCACCACTGAAGTAGCCATCGTAGTAAGGTTCGGGGGAGTGTGGGCGATCGGCCTCGTGCGCGAATAGATATAATGGCGAAAAATAAAAGGAAGAAAAGATAAGAAAATAAAATCCGAAGTTCAAAGATCGAACAAAGCCCTCGTGCACGGGACGGGGCGCCCAGAAAGGCAGGCGTATGTGGTGCACTTAAAAAATACTTAGTAATAAATTTGAGTTTCCACCTTTAGCGCTGTGCTTGCCTGCCTACGCTCGGAGTGGTTGAGTGGGAGGTGAAGTGTTTACCGCTGTTGCCGCACAGAAGAATAGAATAGACGCATAGAAACCCTCATCTAACCCTGCGCCAACAGATGGAAACGTATCCCTCTTTCTTTCATCCCTGATAATGGTAATTCTCGCAAGTTGGCAACACCGGGAATTCGTGTATTTAAACGGCTGCTTCGCGGCTCAACCCCTGGAAAACGCGTCGCGCCCCCAAGAAGTCCTCATTTCCGCGTTTTTGATTTGGAACATTATGGTGATTCGATAAACGCCATATTTTAAGTGCACTGGAAAAAAATACATTGGATCTCGAGTCCAGACTCTTGAAAACATTGACCAAAAAAATACTCTTGATTCAATCGGATTTTTGCTTGAATCATAACGAAATCCGCTTAAAATTGGCTCTTGATTTAAGCTAGATCCTGATTGAATCAAGAGTACTTTTTCTTGTCGATGTTTTTAAGAGTCTGGACACTAGATCCAATGTGTTTTTTTCCAGTGTGAGAACGAAGTGCTATATAATCGCATCGCTTGGTTCCGTGTTTTCAGGTGCTTGTCATTTTTAACGAATTTTGAGATCGCATTTCTGTTGTTGCGAGACTGAAGAATGCACTTACCAAATTTTACAAACGAAGTCAACCTAATAAAGACAGAACTTTTTAGAGGAGAAATAACGCATTCAATGCTAGTATTGAAACTGCACTCGAATACGATATTTTTCCTTTAATAAATCTCCTACGTTTATCACGTTGATTTTGTGAATTCTTTAGTTTCGTGACAATAGAGATGCAATCTCAAAATTCAATAAAAATCTCATGTAGCTAAGAATACGGAGCTTTTTATAACTTGCGGGCCGCGTCTGGGATCAACAACGTGATAAGGCGCATGCGTAAGTGTCACAAATGATTGAGGGTATCAAAAAATCGCAGCAAATCGTACGGTATTGCGTAACGCAATTCAGGGACAGCTAATCAGACTTTTTAACTCCATAAAGGTAAATATTTTCATTAAAATACAGTTTTTAAGGCTTTATCTCGATCGTATGACTATAAAAGCACGGTAAATTGGCAACGCTGTCGAGTCATAGTAAGTAATCGTGGTCGTAAAGACTATCTTGAGAGTCCAATGACACAATCCACGCTCAGTGTCCGCTATGTCCACAAAGAAAACTCATAATGATCACACCTTAGCCCCAACTCATGTTTCCAACGGGCGGGTGTAGTTCAAGGGTATCCCACGCCTGATGTTCATATCAACTTCGGGCTTTTGAAATGAGTAATTTGACGAAAAAAAAAAGTCCCATCTTCTACAACATTTTAAATGAGATATTATAATGATTTGCATTCGTGGGTATTATTTTAAGTTCTCCATTGGATTGTCGGCTTTGCAGGCCTTTGATTTTAACATTTTTATCGAGCCATGCGACATAAAATAACGACTTTGTAATTTCTTTCCGTAATATTTCGTTCAAAAAGTGCGTTGATGAAATTTTGAAAGCACTGGAACGTTTTTTTTCCAGTTTCTCTTTCAACAACTCACCGATGATTTTTTAAAATGTCTTGCTTAATTTCACGTTACCTTGATTAAAATTCCTTTCTAAGAGTTTAACATTTTTTGGAGCAATAACTCGGCTATGATACATATTTTTCTTCCGGAACTTCATTGCCTATTTTATTGATATATAGTTATAAAGAATCCTAGCAGCAAAAATCTTTCAGGAACGGTGATTAAGAGCATCAAAAAAGTCCTCTACTTTTTTTCATGGCATGAAAATGCCTAAATTGACTTAAATAACTGTAGTGGGACTTTTATTGTTAGCACGCGATGTGACAATCATGAGCGTAAACCAAATGAGAAAGAGAATGTGAAACGAATACCAAAATTTGTTTATCCGAATACAACCATTCAAAGGTAGTGCTCGCATAGTAAATGGAGAGACTTTAACGAGCGGTTAGGAATATAAACGTAGCTTGGATGAATTCAGACTTTTGTCGCATGTTTAGGAATCAAATATTCAATGTGTATCAATCCATCCTGACATTGATCAACAGACGGATCACATGGCAAATCGAGAGACTTAAACGAAACGGTCAGAAATATAAATGTACTTAGGTTGAATTGAGACTGTACCGTCATGTTTACGCGACGAGTAAATTCTAATATTTTTAAAATTCCTAGCCGTGAATCACATTATTACTGGAAAACTATTGACTATTGATCATTTCTGACTGAAAATTTCTCTGATTTCTCCTCTGATTGTAGACCGAAAATCAGCAAAAGCTCAGACGAAAACTGTGATTCATCATATTCCTGTGAAAAATAATTTTCTTATAAATTTTGCATTTTCGAAGTAGAGTTACGACTAGAGTTGGAATTGAGTCGAATAGAGTTGGAGAACGACGAACTAGAAGGAAAGAGATGATTTTTCACGGACACGGTAGGGGAATGAAAGGTTAACGATAAGTTTTCAAGTCATGCAGAAAAAAATTTATTTTCAGGAGTTAAGCTTCGATCGCTATAAAATTCGGTCATCACCATTCACTTAGGTTATACGCGGCTCAACTTTTATCTTAACGCATGCCAAGAATGGTTTAAGTAGCGCATGTGCTCCGCGCGCGGGTCATCGCACCCGCAGGTAACCACAAAGCCCTTAATGGGTGAGTAGTGCATTTAACGGAACTTCCGAACGATGTAACTAAGAAAACTCATATCTGTAAGCGCAACGTTGCAAATATCCTTCATGATTCGATGCTTTTTTTTCTAGTGAAGAAAGTATCTCCCTTTCTGCATCTCCCTTAGCCCCAGAACCGTATTGACGGTGAAGTAACGAAATCTTGCACTACGGACTACGAATACGATGTTTTAGAATTTCTGAAATAATTTTATACTATGAAAATATTGCCACCGGACTTTTATGCTAGCATCATTTGGAATTCAGTTTTTTGCACCTGACTTAATTTCAGGTAAATTCATCTCATTTCGGTCAGTTTTAGGGATAACTTTTTGAAAACTTCCCCCCACCCATTTCTATACAAGTAGTTATATTCTACTTTCTCCCTCAAAAAATTGTTCTTCCTCCTCCCAACCCTCCTCTGAAATAACGCTGCGGCAATTGTCATTTGCCACAATAGATAAGAGACATCCCTGACATTCCTAGGAATTCCATGAAGTATCCCATATAAAAAAACAGGCTTTTTTTTGTTGGTTTATCGGCTTATATCCCGTTAGGACCTACAGCCATCTATAGACTATATGTCTTCACTGAAGAGAAAAAATCTTAAATTTACCGCGAAGAAATATTTCTTCTTCAATCAAGAATATTGTTGGTTAATATAAACTACTTTTTTGCTTAGCCCGAGCATTATTTTTCTTGAATCAAGAAAAATTCAGCTTAAAGCGCGATCAAAAAAATTTTTGGGGGCAAATTCAAGAATCATCATGCTTGAGCCAAGCTACTTATTTTTTCAGTGTTGTCCGGAGACATCGAGGGATTCTGACACATACAGCTCCAGGCTTTCCAAATTTTCAAGGACCAGACCGAGTAGAGATGAGACTTACTTTATAATGGGAATATCCAAAGAATCCAGTTAACACAGGGTTGAAGACGGTAAATCCCTCTTGGGGGCGGTAATTCACTGACACTGCACAGGTTCACAGAGGGGGCGGGGGGTGGGGGCGAATCGGGGTTTCGGACACAAGCGGCTCACGATCTGTGGCGGGGTCGCGGTTAAGTCGGTGACGGACGCGGGCTCGCCGAGGTTTCCTCGAAGACTGAGGATCTCCAGCGCGGATACCGAGAGCTCCGGAGGACTCCACCACGCCGCGCCGCGCGGCGGCCCGGCCGGGGTCAACGCTCCGCGTCCGCCGCCGCCGCCACGCCGCGCCGCACAGTGAACCAGACGCTCGGGAGATTCGACACCATGTGGAGACGTTCGAAGCTTATGGGCCGTGCCGTGGTCCTAGGGCCGTGTCCATAGTCGTCCCTTAAACACGGAGAAACAAACTTCGTGCGTGGGATCCGAAGTTTAGGTCACATGGATCTCTGAAGTTTTCGGATTGAGCATCTGAAACTTCAGTCCTTACATCTAAAGTACTTCAGGTTTCACATCCGAAACCTTCGGTTCTCACATCTGAAGTACTTCAGTCGTAAGAGCTGAAGTACTTCAGATGTAAGAACTGAAGTTTCAGATGTCTGACCTGAACTTCGGCAGCTAGACCTCAAGTGTTTAGATGCTCAATCCGAAAACTTTAGAGATCCATATGACCTAAACTTCGGGTCCCACGCACGAAGTTTTTTTCTCCGTGAACAACTCCTTTCCCGAGGGATCACAGTTAGTTGCAATTCTGCTCTGCCAAAGGCCCAGATACGCGGAGAAAAAAACTTCATGCATGGGACCCGAAGTTGAGGTCATATGGATCTCTGAAGTTTCCTGATCACGCATCCGAAAACTTGAGGTCGAGCTGCCGAAGTTCGGGTCAGACATCGAGGCACTCCGGTATGTACCGGAGTACTTCAGATGTGTGATCCGAACCCTTCGGTACATATCGAAGTACTTCAGATGTCTGACCCGAACTTCGGCAGCTGGACCTCAAGTTTTTAGATACGCGATCCGAAAATTTCAGAGATCCATTTGACCTCAACTTCGGGTCTTACGCACAAAGTTTTTTTTTTCTCTGTGTACACATGCGAGATTCAAGCATTTGTTGAAAGTGGAACACCAGTAGGCAGGAAGGATTTCCTACGGGTATTTCACTTTTGACAATCACCTGTAACTCGCAGGTGTATCTGCAGTTTGAGGAAAACGGCGTACAGACATTCGAGTTCCCAAATTATTTCCGATACAAATTTTTATTTTGGGATGAACTGATGCATATTTTCCCTTGAAATTCCGGTATTCAGTTGGCACATAGTTCTGTTTGCTCAATTTAAAATCCCGCTTTTCTAATTCTTCCAAAGGAATCACGCCCACTGACCACATTGTTTCTTGTCCAGCTTTCTACAGTACACCCCATATTTTTCACCTGCATATAGTTCTGTTTGATAGAAATCACTGAAAAAAAAAGGTCGGTAAATCCGAACACGTTAGGATCACATGGAACCACGTTTTTTTCGGTACACATAACCTAATTATTCGGTCTGTTCAACCGAACTGTTCGGTCCGCTGAACCAAACTACAAGAATTTGTAATGGTTCGGTCGCTCAAACCGAACAGTTTGGTTGAACAGACCGAATACTTCGGTTGTGTGAACCGAACAAAACGTGGTTCCATATGATCCTAACTAGTTCGGATTAACCGAACTTTTTTTCCAGTGATAGTCCAAATGAGTTCTTGAAAGGAATCGAAAGGATTCGCCTTTCCAAAAAGTACAAAACACGAAAGAAAATATTCTAAGATTTTAACTCGATGAAGATCATGCATCTATTTCATGTCCGACGTCTCCTGATTTTTCGTTCCATTGTGCGGCGCGCCGCCCGTATCAATCCTCGGGTTGCTGGGTAGTCGCGAGCTTGCTCTTGGACACTCCAAGCGCCCGCGCCGCGCCGGCACGCACCGTCCCTGTCGGCCGCCGCCGCCGCCGCCTCGTGGACCTGCGCCCCCGCGGCACAGTGGGATCCTCCCTGGATTCAGGGTCACCGCCGATCCACGAGATCTTCGAGGCAGTCTTCGTCGTCATAGACTGCTTCATTTCGTGCACCGAGAAATTTAGTTCCGTCGCACAGGCCTGTCCGTTAAATAAGAACGTCAGGCTTTTTTTTCCCTCCACCTTTACTTCATCTCCGCACCTCTCTCGTGTCAAGTTCGTGCCAGATAGCTTTGAACTTTTCCCTAAGAATGGAAGATTTATTTTTTTATTGCTCTATCTGAGAGTGCTGAAAGAGCGGAGAAAAAACACTAAACAATGACCCGAACTGGATGTAACAAGGTGGTGAAATTGTCAAAAATTTTGACTCTTATTGAAATTTTTGGAACTTTTTGGCTTTGTTTTCCCCGCAAAATGATGTTGACCCAGCACCATTTCACCATCTTGTTAGGTACTTAAAGAACTGACTTCACAGTATTTTTCATAATTTTTTTATGTGCTATAGTTGTCTCTAAACTGAGCTAGAATTTGTAGTTCCTAATTATTGTGAAATAACGTCCAATTTGATAACATTTTGTCATTAGGATCTACGATTTCTGGCTTAGTTTAGAAACAACGTATGCATCATCAGTTTCCTCATGCCCGTGCGAGTTTCTACGGATGAGCCATAAATCGTAGTTTTTAATTGCAAAATGCAGTCCTAGTAAAACACCACGGGACTAAACAATTTTCGCAAAATAATGGTGCAAGTTGCCCATATGTTATTTTTATTATGTCCAATTTTGCTGCTTCTCCAACAACACTGTAAAAAAAATTTCGGCGTTTTTACCACGGTCCGTTGGTACCTTCATCATCTCACTTTGTTTACTAATTATTGGTAATTTTACCAAGACAGACTGGTAAGCTTACCTAAAAACCAGTATTTTTACTGTTTGTTTCAGGTAAGAATACCACTTTTATTGGTAATCAATTCCCGGTAACTTTGCGATTTTATCTCGGTAATTCTACCACAGTCGATGAAAAATATTGGCGTTGTTACCAAGGTGTAGTAAAATTACCGAGAAAGCTCGATCATTTTACCGAGATTTCTCGGTAAAACTACCAATTCCATAAATGGTAATTTTACCGAGAAAAAACTGGGATCTAATAGAACCCTGAATTCTTGGTAATTTTACCCTTTTCGTAGTAAATACACCGAGATTTTTTTTCAGTGAATATTTTAACCTTACATCTTTGCCCAGTATGATCGAAGATGGAAACACACCGTGCGGCGCTTCTACGAAGTCAAGATTACTAATAGCCGGAGCATTTATGTAAATGCTCTGAGCCTCCCCCATAAAGAAGCCGCACAATAGTAAGACGTCGATCGTTTTTCCAAAGGTCTTTTAGCCCGGGCAACCCCGGTATGAAATTGAGATTAGTATGCCCGGGACGCTATGTAAATGCCCCGGTCCCCGCTATGGGCTCACCCATAAAATACCTCTAACAATAGGAGGGGCTCACCCGTCTTCCCTTGCGTATTGCCGCCCTGTGGCGGAACGTCCTATGTACTTTTGGCTGTTGCCGGATTTATTCTGATCAAAACTAAGGTGGTGACAGTCGGGAAAAATTTGCGCTCCTGGGAGTTTTGGTGGTCGTGATGGTCCAAATTGCGTGCTTTCGTAGCTTCACGTGCTTCCTTTTTCGAAGCTCTCTGATTACAGAAAAGTTTACAATTGTGGCTTTGAAAGCTCGTCTGTAGCAAGGTGCTTCGGTAACATCTCCGTATAAGGAAGCCCCCCCCCCTTTGTACGTACTTGAATCCTCTTAGAGAATTTTATATTGAATTTTAAGTTTCAATAAATGTCAAGGAAAAATATTCAAAGTTCTTCCTCCCAAGAAACACTTCAATCGAGAGATTTGACAACATTCCAATGTGCATGCGATGTTTGTCCTCAGCACGGTGGGTTGCCTCTCAGTTATGGCTAGTCGAAGCCATTAAGCAAGGTCTGATGTTTGCTGAAGTAGGCTTGTGAGTGCAGGCTCGAACTCTCCGAAAGTAAATCTTATTCCTTGGGAATCGTCTCAAGGATCAATGTTCATGTTTCATGCAGGCGAGTCTTATGAGACAGTTTTAAGATCGGTGCCGTCCTGGCAGACGTGAAATGAGTTCAACAGTAAGGAACCAAACCCTCATTATTCAGGAAGACGAGCCATGAATGATCTTAAGTTCAGCACGCACGTCTCAATTTCCTGCCAAAAAACGAGAACTATACCAATACTGCCGTGGTAAGAGAAAACGCCGTACGAAATTTCGAGAGTTTCTAAATTTCCTCCGATATAATGTTTATTTTTAAGGAAAGTAACGAACTTATTCTCTCGAATTTTTAGAAAATTTAGGTTTTATTGTGAGCTTCTTCCACATGAGAAATAAACACATTTTACAATAGAGTTAAATTTAAGAGTATTTACAATCGATCGAGTCGTTTGTGTCTTCTTTAAAATCATGAATAATAGAAAGCCATGTCTATTGGTTAAGACTCGGAGGTTCGCGAGCTCCTATAGGGCTTAACCAATTTAGATCTAATTGTGAAAAAAGTAATCTGGAAAATTGGAGAAAATTCCCAGATTTCTCTGAAAAGTCGAACTTGTCAAAACATCGTCTGAAGACGCATACGGCGTTCTTTCTTAGCACAGCATAGTTGGTATATCGCATACGACGGACAGTATACGAATTCAACTATATCGCCTGGATGCAACTATTCGACCTCTACGGATGTCGGTGTTGCATACTCACGGAATTGAAGGCATTTGACTCTCTAGGCACTCGCCGCTTCACCCGCGCAGTGGATCGAGTTAATGGGAGAGGTCGGACAAAATTTGGAAACTTTTAAAGCTCATAACTTCGTACATACAAAACGTTGAGGTTTTCAAAGTGGCTCCACTGGTTTCCTCGTGAAATTTTCCTGGAAGCACCAATAAAATTCTAAATGTGACGAAATAAACATCAAAATTTGCAGTTTGAGTCAAACATTTTATGTCCGAACTCTCTGATTGACTCGATCCATTGTGTCGCGGCGTGGTGGAGGATCTGAACTGCGAGGATCCAAAATGACAGAGTGCCTGCAATCCCTCGTTCATACTGCAGAAACATCTCGCAGGCATGAATAGTTGCACACAGAAGTAGGATATGAGAATAGCGAACAGTTGCGAACGAGAGCGAATAGTTGTGCCTAAGAATTTTATTTGTAGTATTAACGAAAAATTAAAGACACTTTGCCCCTTCGGAGCCTCGTGGAGACATGCTCGTATAGTTCTCAGCTTCATTCTTGCCAAGTTTGAAGGAAATTGCTACTCTAGTTTTGTTTGTAAAGCGTTGATAATGAATCGGTACCTTGGATTTCTATATTTAATGGTAAACCCTATCATACTCGGCATTTGACGTAATATCTAATGATGATTAATTTTTTCTATTGCAGGGTGGCTTTTTCGTTTCCTGATATGAAAACATGTCTCCTAAATCAGAAGTTACAGGTAAGCCCATAGCTTTGTTCTGCGCCCCAGCAGCCATCAAATGTGTTCTTCTTTTTTTTCCCTTTTTTCAATTCTACAAAATGTTATTAAAATGACTCCTCATTCCTACAAGCATAGACGATAAAGACATTTAAGCTATTTTTTATGATGTAAGTGTACCTTCAGTGATCGGAGATATAAAACCTCTTTTAGTTAATCATGGCTAAGTGACACAGAAGTGTTATGATTCAAGAATATTTGAGAAAGAGAGGCATTGTTCTCCTCCTTGCGTTGCACGAATCAACTTTGTTTCCCATTTGTTCATACATACACATACTGCAAGTGTAAGAAGCAGAAGTGGGCGTTAAAATGTCTTATTTAACCTGTCTACCTCTGAAAGAAATGAAGATGCGGCATTTTCAGAAATCATTCTTTTTTCATGTAGTATCAGGAACATGAAACTTCTTAACCACATCAACACGAAGTGATTTATTTACATCATGAAAAATACAAATTTTAACCAAAGGGGACAGGAAAAAGAAATAAATTTCTCATTTAAATGCCTACTTTGAAGCTTCCCTTACAATACGGAAGAGTTCAAAATCAGGGCCTATACTGCAAAACAGTGTGACCTTTAATTTCAATAATTTGTCATTACTGCTTTCTTTAGTGACCCGGTGGAAATGATACCGCCCTGTCGAGAAAGGTTCTCCATGCGCCATTACTTTTTCCACCTTAGCAGTGTTAAGAGTATTCAGTGTCAGTACATCCACGGATCTATCTCGTATAGAAGAGCTCAGCTATAAACACGAACGCACTGATCGTCCAACCAACAATCAGAACGATGAAACCGATCTGCAAGTCGACCATGCCGAATGGTCTCAAAGGCTCGTTCGCGTAAACCTCCTCGTACTGTCGAAACATTTCAAGCCAATCTCTCCCGAGAATCTTCTCGTACGCATTTGTCATTATCCCAGCCTCGGCCAATCGGATCGCTATGGACTTTATTTTCGGACCGTACACGGAATTCGATAACAAACGCAGATCGAAAGGGTACGTCATGACGGGTTCCTTTACAATATGGAACTCCGTTGTGCCGAAAGGGACCCTACAATCAGGGGCATAGAAGAGGTCTTTCCATTTCGTCAGCAAAGGCACGAAAAGGATGAACCCGTCGTTACAGAGAATCTCCGTTTCCGCCCTAGCCAGGCTCCGCGAGGCCAATTCTGACATGTTTAGCCCCAACAGACTTCTACTCCTGCCCCACTCAAGAGGATCGGGATAAGCTACGAATACATTTCGAACGTCCCTGTAGAACCTCCAGGAATCGATCGATCTGTTGTTGATCCACACGTATTTCGGATCACTCGTGAAGAGGTACTCACCCAAATCCGGTTCCATCTGAAACAGCAGGTCCGACGCCTCCAATTGTGCTGCCGTATCTATAGGGTCATAGCGCAGTTTCTTGCTAATGGATTCCGTCATCCGGCTCAGGAATACAGAGGAAAGAATCAAACAGGTGAACGATAGGATAACGAAGAGGATCTTCCCTGTGGCAGTGCCGATCAATAAGCGGGAATGTCCCACGCAGAGGACGTAGGAATAGATAGTGAAAATTGTCGACGCTTCCTCTCCACTGATTCTTCGGTACGCCTCGTGCACGAAGGCACAAAGAGAGATCGACCCCAGGATAAAAAGCCACACTATTGGGGTGAAGCACTTCGCCGGTATCAAGTAGGAAGGCATGTATCCTCTCTCAGGCACGGCTAATGTGATCAGTCCGGGGATGAATACAGGGACGACGTCAAGGTGACGGAAGTCGTTGTCGCGGAGGCTGGCTTCAAGGATAACCACATCCGCGTCCTCTCGGATGGCAACGTCGAAGACGTCGAGTCGTCCATCCGAGTCGTCGTTGTCTAAGGTGGCCTCGTCGAGTTTCGAGGGCATATGGGAGATCACCGTCGTATTTAATTTTTCTGCCACGGTTTCCAACACGAACATCCCGACTTCGGGCCTGTGACTGAGGCCGAAGTAAATGTCCGCATCATCACGCGAGTAGATGTGCACCAATAGACGTTTGCTTTGCACGTTCGACCACGAGAAGTCGAAGTAGTCACCGCTTGCCATGGTGTACGCGACGATGAGCTCGTCGAAAGGTCGGTAGTTGAAACACTGTTCGGCGATGCATATGACGGTCTTGAAGCTTCGGAAGAAGCGCCACATGATTTTGAATGAGAGCAGTAAGTCGAATTCGTGGTGTTGTCGACCGTCCACATCCAGACACATTCGCTCCGGTATACGATTCTGAATTTTGAAAATCAGGTAGTTCGCAGAGTTCCAGACCGGATGATGGAAGAGGTCTCGCGTTTGCCGTAAGAGTGTTGCCGGAAATTCTGATCCTGCGTGGAAATCCTCTTCGCTGATTTGAACAAGATGGTCACACGTTTTGGAGGGGTCTCCATACCGAACGGTCCGTTCAAAATTATGGTAATCAAAGCAAATATTTTGTAGTGAAAACTCCTCTGGAGTATCACGAATCCTCCTTGGGGCGTAGCGCTCCCCTTCGCTCTCTAAATTTGTGCTCCTCAATCCGACTGTTGTTCTCTTCGGCGGAACAACATTACGTTTTGTTTTATAAGCCGTGTTCCTCAATTCAAAAGATGAGCTCATCGATCCGGCGATCAAGTTCCTTGGTTGGATAGTCAAATTCTTCGACTCATTAGTATAGCTTTTGGATTCGGTAGGGAAGCTCTTTAACTCTGTGACCAAATTATTTGTTTCGGCGGTCGAGGCCCTGAGTTCAGTATCCGACTTCAGTAGATCAAGATTTGATCCCATCGGCTCGATAACTGAATCCCTTGACTCAATATCCGAGCTTTCCAACACGATAACCGATCTCCTCAAATCAGCATCCGGTTTCTCCGATGCAATAGTTAAGCTTCCCGTAAGAATACTTGAGTTCCCTGATTCGGCAATTGAGCTGTTCAATTTCATTTTTGTGCGGTTTGAATGATCAGGCAAACTCTCTGATTCTGTGGAAGGACGCGTTGATTCAATGGCATTCCTCGATTCTACAACTGAGGTCTCCGATTTCAGAAGCGAAATATTGCGTTCCAAAACGGAACCGAAAATAAGACTCAAAATATCGTGACAGCCATCGAGCAAGAACACGATGGTCTTCGGGCTCTGTCCGGCTCGAATACTTTTGTAGCCGATTGTTGTTGGAATGTGACTTTCGTGAAATGACCGAAGCAGGGAGCTTGTGGAAGGATGGGATGCGTGGTTCGAGACGTGGACCGTGGGCGTTCTAGAAATTCGCATGGTGTTCTGAACGACTCTCAGAAGGAAAGGATCATCCTCCATGATTTCTCCCTCGATCTTGACATTGCCGATGAGGGTGCACCGGAGCGAGCCCAAAAACGCCAGTGCCCAAGTAGTGAAATACCAGCAGTATTCCATTTTAGGAAGTCTGGACCATCCGCGGCAACTAGGATCAGTGAAATTGTGGTTAGTCAGAAACGTAGATAATCTGAAATTTGCAAAGCTGCGGACTGATTATTGAAATTGATGGACAAAGCTATAGACGAAGAAGACATAGGGAGTCTGGAGCGATCCTATTGGTTGAAATGGGTAGTTCCTATAGATAAAGGGAGGAAATGATAGACTAACTGTCGGGTCTCTCGTGGGTTGCCGTTAGTTAGTCTATTACCTACCTCCTTTGTCTATTGTAACCACCCGCTTCCACCAATAGGATCTCTCTATATCTCTTTTGTCTCCTTTGTCTATAGCTTTGTCCATCAATTTCAATAATCAATCCGCAGACGGCTCAAAATCGACCCGAAACACTGAGCCCCTAGGATTAGCTTTTGGAAGAAACTGTAGTTGGATCATACTTGTATTGTAGAAGTTCCTGCCTCTCTGAGTTTACAAATCCTTTCTTTCCCCGTCTATCTTTAGTTTTAGTCATTTCAGAATTCGGTTATGATTGTTGATCTGACGATGATGAATAATGGAATTAAGGAAATATTCGCACCTCAATTTTATTGGTTTCAATTTCGTTTTTTTTGCCCTTTTCGTTGTTTCTTTTTATGAATGAATAACCTCCTCATCCTCACCATGTGTAGAGATATTGCCCGTAGTTTGAGATTTTCGTTTCATATCTTCTAAAATTCAGAAAAATCGCGCAATGGATGTATTCTTAATTTGCAGGGTTTGTACCCTTGTAGCACATGTCAACTTAAGGAAATATTATAATAGTAAAACAAATTGAACATATTTCTGCGTGGCCCAATTATACACAGCAACATTTATTTTGCGTATTTTTTCGGTCTTACCCCCTGAAACTGATCCATTTGATCCAAAAACTCTCTCTGCCAAGTTTTAGGCCAATCGGATATTATTAACCCGTGCCAACAGAGCCATCATTTTTATATGGGATTTTACACTGAAAAACACTTCTTTATCGAAAAATTAATTTCCCGGATCATGCGCAATTTCAAGAAAACATAAGAGGTCATATTCGGCTTTAGCAGGAAAAATCGATTGGGAAAGTTGTATTAGATGTAGATACCTCAAAACATTTTTTCTACCCCTCGTCATAGCGGTGAATCAGTTGAGACATCCAGAAAACGCTAAAAAAGGGCAAATGACGGTACCTCAAATAGTTACCTAGGTCTGCATCCGAAAACAAAGCTCAACATATGAAGGATATTTCACGCGCACTGAGTACGCTGAGTCCGAAAATGATATTCATTTTTCTCTATTCCATCATGAGTCTCTGAGGAACTAAATGTTTCCCGTAAAAAGAGGATTTCCCTGAGAAAACTCGGTACCCTGGAAAACTTTTGAATATCGAGGAAAAAGCAAGGGCCTCTAGATCCTCAGAAACTCCTAATGGGACAGATGGAACTGGTCGTCATTTTTAAATTCAACGTCATAAATCATATAGAAAACGTCAATTAAAAGTCGATCGTTTTTTCCTAAAAATTGAGTTTTCCCCGGAAAACCCGGTTTCCATGAGA